GGGATTTGTCTTCCCTTTGTGGGCGCTCTGGTGTGATAGCCTATTTCTCTCTTCTCCATTCCCAAGGCTCACCCCCCACACCCAGCTGATAGCGGAGGTCCATTTTGCTCCCCACCGTGTCTCTGTCCATCCTACCCTCTCAGTGTGGCCTCTTCTTTACCTTTTGTTGTAGAGTTGTTCTGCCAGTCTTCAGGTTGTTTTCTGGGTTATTTATGCTGATGTGAGTGTTACCTAGTTGTATCCATGGACCAAGATGAGCTTAGGGTCTTCTTACTCCCTCCTATCTTCCCAGCCTCCTGTAGTAAGTTTTAAAATCTAGAAGTATAAGTCCTTCAGCTTTGTTTTTCCTTCTCAAGATTATTTTGGCTATTTGAGTCCCTTGATATTCCATGTGAATTTTAGGATGATGTTTTTCTATTTCTGCCAAAACATCATTGGGTTTTTGGTAGGGCTTGCATTGAATCTGTAGATCACCTTAGGTAGTATTGACATTTTAACAATATTAAGTTTTCTAATCCATGAACATGGGATATGTTTCCATTTATTTATGTCTTCTTTAATTTCTTTCAGCAGTGTTTGTAGTTTTCATTTTTTTAAATTTAAATTCAATTAATTAACATATAGTGTATTATTAGTTTCAGAGGTAGAGTTCAGTGATTCATCAGTTGTATATAACACCCAGTGCTCATTACATCACATGCCCTCCTTAATGCCCGTTACCCTATTATCCCATCCTGCCCCCCCTCCCCTCCAGCAACCCTCAGTTTGTTTCCTATGATTAAGAGTCTCTTATAGTTTGTGTCCCTCTCTGATTATGTCTTATTTCATTTTACCCTCCCTTCTTCTATGCTCCTCTGTTTTGTTTCTTAAATTTCACATATGAATGAGATCGTATGATAATTATCTTTCTCTGACTGACTTACTTCACTTAGGATAACACCCTCTAGTTCCATCCATGTCATTGCAAATGGTGATTTCATTTTTTTTTTTAATGGCTGAGTAGTATTCCATTGTGTGTGTGTGTATATATATATATATATATATACACTACATCCTCTTTAGCCATTCATCTGTCGATGGATATCTGGGTTCTTTCCATAGTTTGACTATTTGGACATTGCTGCTATAAACATTGGGGTGCAGGTACCCCTTCGGATCACTACATTTGCATCTTTGGGGTACATACCTAGTAGTGCAATTGCTAGGTCATAGGGTAGCTCTATTTTTAACATCTTGAGGAACCTCCATACTGTTTTCCAGAGTGGCTTCACAAGCCTGCATTCCCACCAACTATGTAGGAGGGTTCCCCTTTCTCCACATCTTTGCCAACATCTGCCATTTCCTGACTTGCTGATTGTAGCCATTCTGACCAGTGTGAGGTGGTATCTCATTGTGGTTTTGATTTGTATTTCCCTGATGCCAAGTGATGTTGAGCATTTTTTCATGTGTCTGATGTCTTCTTTGGAGAAATGTCTGTTCATATCTTCTGCCTATTTCTTGACTGGATTATTTGTTCTTTGGGTGTTGAGTTTCATAAGTTCTTTATAGATTTTGGATACTAGCCCTTTATCTGATGAGACATTTGCAAATATCTTCTCCAATTCTGTAGGTTGTTTCTTGGTTTTGTCAACTGTTTCCTTTGCTGTGCAAAAGCTTTTTATCTTGATGAAGTCCCAATAGCTCATTTTTGCCTTTGTTTCCCTTGCCTTTGGAGACATGTCTAGCCAGAAGTTGTTGTGGCCGAGGTCGAAGAGGTTGCTGCCTGTGTTCTCCTCTAGGATTTTGATGGATCCCTGTCTCACATTTAGGTCTTTCATCCATTTTGAGTCTATTTGTGCATATGGTGTAAGGAAATGGTCCACTTTCATTCTTCTGCATGTGACTGTCCAATTTTCCCAACACCATTTGTTGAAGAGACTGTCTTTTTCCATTGGGTATTCTTTCCTGCTTTGTCGAAGATTAGTTGACCATAGAGTTGAGGATCCATTTCTGGGTTCTCTATTTTGTTCCATTGATCTATGTGTCTGTTTTTGTGCCAGTACCATACTGTCTTGATGATTACAGCTTTGTAATGGAGCTTGAAGTCCAGAATTGTGATGCCACCAGCTTTGGTTTTCTTTTTCAACCTTCCTTTGGCTATATGGGATCTTTTCTGGTTCCATACAAATTTTAGGATTATTTGTTCCAGTTCTGTGAGAAAAGTTGATGGTATTTTGATAGGGATTGCATTGAATGTATAGATTGCTCTGGGTAACATAGACATTCTTTTTCATTTTATCTTTTTATTTTTTTTATTATGTTCAATTAGCCAGCATATAGTACATCATTAGTTTTTGATGTAGTGTTCAACAATTCATTAGTTGCATATAACACCCAGTGCTCATCACCACACATGCCCTCTTTAATACCCATCACCCGGTTACCCCATTTTCCCACCCCCTCCCTTCTGTAACCCTCAGTTTGGTTCCCGGAGTCCAGAGTCTCTCATGGTTTGTCTCCCTCTCTGATTTCTTACCATTCAGTTTCCCCTCCCTTCCCTTGTGGTCCTCCACACTATTCCATATGTTCCACATATGAGTGAAATTATCATATGAGTTCCACATATGATAATTGTCTTTCTCTGACTTATTTCGCTTAGCATAATCCCCTCCAGTTCCATCCATGTCACTGCAAATGGTGGGTATTCATCTTTTTTGATGGCTGAGTAATATTCCATTGTATATATGAACCACATCTTCTTTATCCATTAATCTGTTGGAGGGCATCTTGGCTCCTTCCATAGTTTGGCTATTGTGGACATTAGCATAGACATTTTAACAATATTTGTTCTTCCAATCCATGAGCATGGAATGTTTTTCCATTTCTTTGTGTCTTCCTCAATTTCTTTCCTGAGTGTTTTATAGTTTTCAGAATGTAATTGTTAGGTAATTGTAAGTGTTAGGAAGTCTTTCACATCCTTGGTTAAGTTAACTCCTAAGTATTTTATTCTTGATGCTATCAATGGGAAATTGTTTTTGTTCATTGTTAGTGTTTAGAAACACAACTAATTTTTGTGTTGATTTTGTATCTTGCTACTTTGCTGAATTCATGTATTAGTTTAACAGTTTTGTGTGGAATCTTTAGGGTGTTATACATATAAGATAATATCATCTGCAGACAGAGATAATTTTACTTCTTCCTTTCCAGTTTGGATGCCTCATTTCTTTTTCTTGCCTAATTGCTCTGGCTAGAGCTTCCAGTAATATTTTTTTTTTAAGATTTTATTTATTTATTCATGAGAGACAGAGAGAGAGGCAGACGCAGAGGCAGAGGGAGAAGCAGGCTCCCTGCTAAGCAGGGAGCCTGACGCAGGACTCGATCCCAGGACCCTGGGATCATGACCTGAGCCGAAGGCAGACGCTTAACCATCTGAGCAACCCAGGTGCCCATTCCAGTAATATTTTTAAATAGAAGTGTTCCCGATTTTAGAGTAATAGCTTTCAGTGTTTTACCATTGAGTATGATGTTTGCTGTGGATTTTTCATATATGGCTTTTATTGTAGCCATATATGAAATTATATTGAAATGTATGAAATTGTATATGCAACTGTATTATACATGAAATTGTATTGTAGTCTCCTTCTAGTCCTAGTTTTTTAGTGTTTTATTTTTAATCATAAAAGGGTATTGAATTGAATTGAAACGTGCTTTTTCTGAATCATTTGAGATGATCAAGTAGAGGTTTTTTCCTTCTTTCTGTTAATATGCTGTATAATATTGATTGGTTTTTGTATATTGAACCATCCTTGCATTCCAGGAATAAATCCCACTTAGTCGTGGCATAATCTTTTAATATGCTGAATTTGATTTGCTAGTATCATGTTGAGGATTTTTGTATCAATGTTTATAAGGGATATTGGTCTGTAGTTTTCTTGTAGTCTCTTTGTCTGGTTTTGATGTCAGGGTAATGCTGGCCTCACAGGAAGTGTTAGGAAGTTCTTTTCTCTTTAATTTTTTGGAAAAGTTTGAGAAGGATTGGTAGTCTTAAATGTTTGGTAGATTTTGCCAGTGAAGAACAAAGGTTCAGAGCTTTTTTTGCTGGAAGATTGTATATTATTGATTCAATCTCCTTATTAGTTATAGATCTATTCAGATTTCATATTTTTTTGTGATTTAGTCTTGATAGGTTTTGTGTTTATAGGTATTTGTCCATTTCATCTAGGTTCTCCAATTTGTTGGCATACAGTTGTTCATAGTACTCTCTTAAATCTTCTTTATTTCTGCAGAATTTGTGGTAATGTTCCCACTTTCATTTCTGATTTTAGTAACTTAAAGGTTCATCAATGTTGCTGATCTTTTTGAAGAACTAACTTTTGGTTTCATTAATTGTCTCTATTGTTTTTCTATTTTATTTATCTCTGCTCTAATCTTTATTCTTTCCTTCTGCTAAATTTATGTTTAGTTTGTTGTTCTTTTTCTAGTTCCTGTAAAGTTAAATTGTATTTTAGTTCTTTTTTGTTTTTAATGTAACCATTTATAGCTATAAATTTCCCATGAGCACTGCTTTCATTGCGTCCCATAAGTTTTTGTTTGTTGTGTTTCTGTTTTCACTCATTTCAAAGTATTTCCCTTGTAGTTTCTTCTTTGAAACACTGGTTGTTTAAATATGCTGTTTAATTTCCACAGATTTGTAATTTTTTCATTTTACTTCTGTTTTTGATGTATAACTTCATCCCATTGTGTTCAGAGAAGATATTTTGTATGATATCTACCTTTTTTAATTTCCTGAGACTTAATTTGTGGCCTAACATATGGTCTATCCTGGTAAATGTCCTATGTACATTTGAGAAGAATGTTTGTGCTCTTGTTGGATAGAGTGTTCTGTATATGTCTATTAGATCTAGTTGATTTATTGTGTTGTTTAAAATCCTTTTTATCTTCTGTCTGGTTGTTTTATCATTTATTGAGTGTGGGATATTGAAGTCTCCAGCTATTATTTTTATGTCTATTTCTCCCTTCAGTTTTTTCAGTTTCTGCTTCATAATTTTGATGATATGTCTGTCATTAGGTAAGTAAATGTTTATAATTGTTATATCTTCTTGTTGAATCTTTTATTAATGTAATGTCTTTCTTTTACCTTGTAGCCTTTTTTTATTTAAAGTATATTTTGTCTGATATCAGTATGGCCACTCCTGCTCTCTTTTGATTACAATTTGTATGGAATATCTTTTCCTATCCTTTCACTTTCAATCTGTGTGTCTCTTTGAATACAAATGGAGCTGCTTGTAGACAGCATATTGTTGAATCATGTGTTTTTATCCATTCTGCCAATCTCTGTATTTTTTTTGTTTTATTTTTTATTTTTTGCCAATCTCTGTATTTTGATTGGAGAGTTTAATCCATTTACATTTAAAGTAATTACTGATAAGGAGGGACTTAATTCTGTTATTTTGCTATTTCTTTTCTATATGCCTTATAGCTTTTTTGTTCCTCATTTCCTGTATTACTGTCTCCTTTTGTATTTAGTTAATTTTTGGTAGTGAAATGTTTAAATTTATTTCTCACTCCTTTTGGGTATATTTTATAACTGTTTTCTTTGTGGTTACCATGGAGATTACATTTCACATCCTAAAGTTATAACACTCTAATTTGAACTTGTACCAGCTTAATTTCAATAACATACAAAAACTCTGCTCCTTTACAGCTCCATCCCTACCCCTTTTGGTTGTTGATGTCACAAAATTCTGTCTTTTTTTAAGTAGATTCCACACCCAGTGTGGAGCCCAACATAGGGCTTGAACTCATGACCATGAGATCAAGACCTGAGCTAAGATTAAGAGTCTGATGCTTAATCAACTGAGCCACCCTGGCGCCCCACAAATTATGTCTTTATTCATTGTGTGCCCCAAAACATAAACTATTAATTCTTTTAAATTCATTAGTCTCTTAAGTTATGTTATAAACAAAATGTAGAATTATCCCAAAGTTATAATACCAGCTTTTAGACTAATAATTATTTTCAAATGTCTCTTTTAGATACCAGCTTTTAGACTAATAATTACCAGCTTTTAGACTAATAATTATTTTCAAATGTCTCTT